ATGCCTTATGAATGTGAAGTAAGGAAATATTTATGTTTATCATAGAGCTTCTATTTATAGATAAATTATACTTTTATCAGGTAATTTTGATAATTATTTTAAAAAAAAACATATATATTTGATATAACAACACGCATTGCTTGTTGTCAAAACATAAACAACAACGAGCACAGACATGTTGTCATAATATTATAAGACGACACGCTCGGCACGTTGTTGTCAATCGCTCCTACAACGTGCGCGTGTTGTGGTTAATGTTGTTCACAACGAGCGCCAAAATAAACGACGACGTTCAACGCGTGTTGTCGAAAGCCCTACACCTTTTAACGACATCGGCTTCAACAACGTGCGCCGCATGTTGTCAATATGTTTTCACAACGCACATTGCGCGTTGTGAAAGGACTTTTTTCTTGTAGTGATGGCTGTGCCTCTCTTCAACCTCGCCCCCAATCTTACCGACTCCGAGTCTGATTCTTTGGCCCTCCCTCTCATCCTCAAATACAAATTCATTCTTCGCGCAGGGACAATGACTTTTGGCAAGCAAAACACGTTTCCGGAGTCGTTTGGCCTCCTCGACCAAGCTTTCCTGTTCGGCACCAATTTCTTCAACTCTACATAAATGTATCCAGTGGTTCAGTGAGCCCAGACTCAGGGTCAGGGTTGTAAAGTAGCTGTGAGAGTATCAGTTCATGCTAACAATGGTGTGCCAGCTTGGTTTTCACTTCTGATGCGTGAAAATTTGTTCTGATATTATAGGTACCGTCTGGGAAGATGACTTGGATACGAGATGGCTCCAAGTGTTTGAATGCTAAGAATACCACCGAGGCCATTGACGGCAGGTTTGGTAAAGCAAACAGAGCCGCCCTGGCGCCCAGACCCGCCTAGACCCGCCTAGGCCGCCTAGGCGCCGCCTAGATCCGCCCAGACCGCCTAGGGGCCGCCTAGATCAGCCCAGACCGCCTAGGGGCCGTCCAGATCCGCCCAGACCGCCTAGGGATGTCCCTCATTGTGCGAGGCATTTGATGGGTTTTGTTCCTTGGTTTTGTAGGTGTGGATTTTAAAATCAAGCTGCTCACTGTATCTGAGAAGAGAATTAAGATGACAATTTGGGACACAGGTAGTAAATTAAACTTGTCCATTCCTTCATTCTATGATGCAATTTTTATCGATAAATAAAACGTTTACGGATTTCAGAGCAAAAACCGATTTATCTCGTCATTCTATATGTTGGAAGTTTAACGATGAATTGATAACATGACAAATCATATTGTCTATTGCAGCTGGACAGGAGAGGTTCAGAACATTAACAAGCTCTTACTACAGAAATGCACAAGGAATCATTCTTGGTATGCTACCAAAAGCCTCATCAATTTTTGTCTGGAAATATATATTTTTCTCAAATTTTGTTGAGGAAAATGTGGCATGTACTCTCGCTTCTCTTAGTGGCGCCGCTTTTTCATGTTAAAGAGAAAAAAGGGAGAATATGGTTCCCATGTCTGGTTGACTGCTGAAATGAAGAATATTTTGTATCTATGATCTTTCTAGTGACAATCTTGAATTTTGTATATGGGCATGTATCATGTAATATTGTTTAATCCGGCATCATCCTACGCAAATATTTCAAAAAATTTAACTCCTTTTCTTCAAATTCCTACATTTTTATTTTCATGTGTATTTCTTATTGAGCTATAAGAAATGGGAGAAAGAATGGCATTGAAGAAGTTTCCCCTCATAGGCATATAGAACTATACCTAATTCAAAGTTCTCATAATGCCTTGCATACAATACAATAGTTGCCTGATTTCAGCTAATGAACAACTCCTCTGCTTTATTTTAGTGTATGATGTGACTCGGAGAGACACCTTTACCAACTTATCAGATGTATGGGCTAAAGAAGTGGAGCTCTACTCAACTAATAAGGACTGTGCCAAGATGCTTGTTGGAAATAAAGTCGACAGAGTAAGTTTCAAATCCTCTATGTCTACTGCTTAAAAACTTGATCCCAGAAAATGAACAAGAAGTGATCGATGGTCCTCAACTTTGATAAAAAGTTATAGGGAATTTGTCTCTAGCAGTAAGTCGACAGCGAGCAAAGGTCTTATTACTTAGCTCCATGTTCTTCATTGTGTTTGTGTGTTTTGAGTGCTCACACATAGAAAACCAAGACTCTTGATTTGAAGTGATGAAATTTAGTGCAACTTTCGTTGACCTCCGTCTTACCTGTGCCCTTCATCCCTGCCAGACTCATATGATGATGACATGGCATGATTAAGGGGTATCTGCAGGCTCTCTAACATATTTGAGAAATCAAAACATTGCCAGTTGGACATGTATTCAGTGCTCACACACACCCTCAACCAGTATCTTAGTCTGCATAATACTGGTCAACATGAGTGTGATTTTTCTAGTAGTAAATCATCATGAAGCCTAGGATCATTAGTAAATGTTCCATGTAGCCAAACACTTTTGCGGTCCCTTGAAGCATGTTCTGCCAAGTCCCTATCTTGCGGTGAGAAATTGAAAATTTGATTGAGTTTTCTTTCGGTTGAGATGTGGATAATGGTCTTATTTATTTACTGAACAACTATCGTTCGTGAGATTTGAATTCAAGATTGAGACAAAATGATGGCGTTAATTAATGCTGAATTTTTCCTATTTTTTACAATACCTTATTTCAATTATTCCATAGTTCATTGGTCCCACCCAAGTATATGTTGACACTATATTTGTTATTAGCAAAAATATTAGTGTTGCTTTTCACATTGTTACAAACAGGTTTGGTTTTGTAATCTTTTTGCTACAAGAAAACTTCTTCCTTTGTCCATTTCTTTCTTGATTCTGTATTGTATTCAATTGGTGCAGATCGAATGGGAAGGTGATGCTGGATCAATCAAAATCAACGGCACAGAATACTTCTTCAAACAATGTCATTGGCACACCCCCTCTGAGCATTCCATTAATGGCATAAGGTCTCACTCTCTCTTCCTCATCTCCTTTGTCTTAAAAATCCAAAATGTTTCTTCAATGTCTAAAGAGTCTCTTCATCAGGTATGATCTGGAACTGCACATGGTTCATCAAAGCACCGACCCGAAAATAAAGAACAGTATTGCTGTACTCGCATTTCTATACCACATTGGCAACCCCAACCTTTTTCTCTCAAAGGTAATTAAAAGGCCTCAAGATTAACACAATTGTATAAAAGAAACTATAGGAGATGAATTTCCAACTATTCCAATTTTCAGATGAACAAAGATATAATGTCTGAGGTTGCTACAAAGGAGGTACACTTAGGAGTGATTGATCCAAGGGAAATAAAATGGACTAGCTTCAGTTTTTACAGATACATTGGATCACTCACATCCCCTCCTTGCACTGAAGGAGTTATTTGGACCATAAACGAAAGGGTACAAAACCTCTTCATCAGCCCTAATTACTTGGCATTTCTTAATATCCTTTTTAGCCAAAAAAATTATGAGAGACTTAGCTTATCATAAACTGCCCTCAGGTAAAACATGTTTCAAGAGAACAAGTGGAGTTACTTAAAGAAGCTGTGGATGATGTAAGTAACCTTATCTTCGTTAATTGATTCCTCAATTTTTGTTTTCTTCGTATTCATCTACCGGCATCTATGAGATTTGAACTGACGACCTACTTCAAGAAAGTGGAAACTTGCGAGAGTAGTGTCTTTCAAACGATCAGTACCTAACAATTTTTCACACAAATTAATTTCTACTGTTGCTTAACTTGAATGCAGTATGCAGAGATGAATACAAGACCATTACAACCTCTCAATGACCGAGAAATCAAGCACTATGGCCTGTCGTTAAGTGATGCACCAAGCCCCCATGAGGGCAACCACGGCGGCGCCAATCAATATAGGTTAGTTAGTGCACAAAGCCCCAAGGAATCTGGCTCAAATAATGCACCAAAACCAAGCCACCCAGAGAGTAACCAAAGCCCTAAGCAGTCTCTCAGATTATTTACGCACGTAACAGTGTGTATCTTCGCATATCTTCTCTTAATTACTGATTTTTTTTATTTGATTAGAAAGAAGATATTGTATTATTTTCCTTTATTGTTTTCTCTTTTCTACTTCTTTTAATAGTGAGGTTTGTGCGCTATGTTAGTTTGTTGAATTTATGAAATATATGAGAAATTGTGGCATGAATTTGTTGTATCTATCAATTGTGAGTTTGCATTGTTCTATTTGAGAAATTAAAGAATAGTACGATAGTATGACCACGTGGTATAATTACTCGTTTTATATTTCTTGCGAACAATGTGATGTCCATGATAATAATAAATTACAAGCATATGAGCCTGGAAGATTCTATATGTTCTTCACAATGTTATGAAAAATGTACTAAAACTCCGTTGGTTGTTTTATGATAGATCAGAAAGCACACATCTCAATTCCGTTAATTTGGTTGGTTAACAACATTCTCTGTTTGATTTGGTTAGTTCCTTAAGGTGAACTTACAACATATTTTTCGTGAAACTAATTCTGCTGTAGACATGTTCGTGTGGATGTCGTCGTTAGGTTTTAGTCATAGCAAAACAAAAAAAATTACCAAGTCATTTGTCTTAATTTTTATTTTTTGTTCTCTGTACCAAGACGTTCTAGAAAAGTTTATAAATCCCCCAACAGCTTGCGCTAATTATAAGGAGGATATGTTACTTAATCACTACAAAAAAAACTGCACCAACTTCTTATTTTCTATATATAGTACGTAACTCTTGTATATATAGACAGAAAAATCTTCAATACTAGTGTAAGAAGGAGAGCTTACATAATCAAGGAGTTAATACAACTTCTAAAATTTCCATTAACAAAGTATATAATTGCAATGCCAAGAAAGGTAAATTATATAATTGCTTAAAAGTGGAGAAGCTGTGATTTCTTTCCACATTCAAATCCTGTAACTGGAATTGAACATTGCTATATAAACCCCAACAGGAGAAGGCTTTTGGGTGGTAGCAATTTGAATCCCAACTGTTGTTGGCTGTGAAAGATGGCTGGATCAAAGCAAATCCATCTTGGGTTACTTGTTTCTACATTTTTTCTTCTGTGCTGGAACCCAACACCCGTTAGAGCTGAACATTCTGGTAATGTCAAATACATACATACATATATAAACTTACATTCTTCTGTTATTCTTCTTCAATATAATTTATTGAGTTTGGGGTTTTTGTGTGCAGAGAATGCAATAGAATTTGAATATAAGGCAGGGAGCAAGAAAGGGCCAGAGCTCTGGGGAGAGCTTAAGAAAGAATGGAAAACATGCAAGGATGGCAAATCACAATCACCAATAGATTTAAGGGATGGGATTGCCACCAAAGTAAACTCAAGTTTAGAGCATTTTAAAGTCAGTTATAACCCTGCCAAAGCCATGATCGAGAACGAAGGTCCTGTTATTGCGGTAAGAAAGTGAAAAACTCTGCTTTAACTTGTTTATGTACAAATTAAGACATGAATTTTTACTGCTTGTGTTGTAATTTGATGCAGATTGTGTGGGAAGGTGATGCTGGATCAATTAGTATCAATGGCACAGATTACATCCTCAGACAATGCCATTGGCACTCACCCTCTGAGCATTCCATTAATGGCAAAAGGTATGATTTGGAGTTGCACATGGTTCACAGAGCCAAGAACAACAATGTGGCTGTGGTTGGATTCCTCTACAAAATTGGCAAACCCAATCCGTTTCTCTCTGAGGTAAAATCCTTCAAAATTTATGTGCTAAAAACTTGTTTTGGTTAAATTAGAGAAGAGGAATATAGGAGATCACTGGTGTTGTTCCAACTTTCAGGTGACAAAGGAGATAGCATCTATGACTGATGTAGAGAAGGATGTACAACTGGGAGTGATTGATCCGAGGAAGATGAAGGCGGCTCAGACGGGGTTTCAAGACGCGAAAAAGAGGAAGATGAGAAAGGCTAGCTCGAAATTTTACAGATACATGGGCTCACTCACAACCCCTCCTTGCACTGAAGGAGTTACTTGGACCATAAACAAACAGGTACAACCAACTTCATCAGCCCTGAAAATTTTTCCTGCTCCTGTAATTTCAGTAGCCAAAAATGAGAAGCTAATTATAAACTGTCCTCAGGTACTTTCTGTTTCAAAATCACAAGTGAAGCTTCTTCAACAAGTCGTTTTCGATGTAAGTAAAACCTGTCTTTGTGAAGTGATTCTTCTTGTGCAACAGATTCTTTGAAAGGATAATGTCCACCAAAAAGCATATCAAAATATCCATTTTTGAGCATATAATAACTTTTTTCTGTTGATTACCTTGAGTTCAGTATGCAATGATGAATGCAAGACCACTACAACCTCTTAATGGCCGGGATATCAAGCTCCATGACTCATTGTTCTCATCGTTCCGCCAGTGAGACATGTGTAACTAACCGCATCGGCCTCCATTGTCGCCAGTGGTGGCTGCATACTGAGAAAGTCTTTAGATTACCTCCAAGCTACTAAAGCAAGGACAATGGAAGTTCTGAACTGATGTAGGACAAATCATGTGTTTATTCCTACAAAGGAAATTTGAAAAAGAGAAATATTCTGTAACCTAGTGTTTCTTTGTTTTCTATTAATCAGTTTTATCATATTATTAATCAAAATTTAGAGATTTCTCTATTTTCTGGTGGATTCCAGTTGCTAATGGATTTCAGTTTATCTTTTCGGGTTTAGACGTTTGTCGATCCGTCTTCCGTGTTGCATCATGAATACAAACTATTTCCATCTCCAGGTTTCTCTCATTGCCAAGTCCCTAAGCTGGTTTTTAGTCAAAAACAGAATTAGAATGAATGTGTAACATTTTATGAAATTTTCCATTAACATTGAATTGCTGTAAATGGATTGAAATCATTTTATCTTTCCAAATGCTATCCACTGGCACTACAAAGTACAACTACAATGTACCAACTTATAAAAATAAAATGAGAATAAAATTCAAAATGAACCTAGGAAATAATTGAGGTAAATCTTTCCGCTACCAAACAGAGATAAAGACTTTCCCAAAAAACTAAAAGGGCAAGATTGGGACATATCCACATTTAATAACAGATACCTCAGTTAGCAGAGACTGATGATTCTTTCTAGTTTCCACCAAGAGAGAGTCCAACTCGTTAAGAGGTTTTCTCAAAATGCAAGTGTATTAGACAAGGATACAAATACAGCGGGACACCGAGAAGCTAACATGCTTAATACGTGGATTAGTAACACTATGTGGCGGTGTTAGGTCACATAAACTTCTCCATCGTAGGGAGTGAAAGTACTTTCGCATGCAAACCACAGATACATGCATGTCCTAGCTGTTGAGCGTCATCAAATTTCGAAATCATTCAAACCCCATTTTAGTATGCAATAAAAGTGATTAGTATTACAAAGATATTACTAGAGGGATGATGTATGATTTTTTTTTTCCGCATCTAGATCCGGTAAATTGTATATAGGCATAGGCTCATAGTGCATCATTCTATCATTCTTCATTGTAGCAATTTCAAACAAAGAACAGAGGCTCCTCTGTCTTAACATTTGTATGATTTTAGTGGCTGTTGTCTGTGAATGATGGTTGAATCAAAGCAAGCCCATCTTCAGTTCCTTGTATTTTCTTTGTTTCTTCTCTACTGGCACCAAATACCCATTGGAGCCCAAGTTGTTGGTAATGCCAAATATGTTTACTTCTTGCACTCATCTCATTTACCAGCTTCATCATGATCACAGCCATTGGGTTTTTGGTGCAGGTCAAGAAATAGAGTTTGATTATAGGAATGGGAATGAGAAGAGACCAGAACACTGGGGAGAGCTTAAGAAAGAATGGGCAGCATGCAAGCATGGAAAATTGCAATCACCAATAGATTTATCGGATGACCGTGCCACCAAAGTGATCCCAAGTTTAGAGGATCTTCAAATGAGTTACAAGCCCTGCAATGCAACCATGAAGAACGAAGGCCACTATATCGCGGTGAGAAAATTAAAAATCTCATTGAATTAATTTCTTGTTTGTTCAAATGTGTAGCATTCAAGGTCTTATGAATTTTTACTACACATATGTTGTATGGAAATGTCTAATTTGTTACCAAAAACAAAAACATATTTGAAGAGACATTCATAGTGCTGCAATTTTCATTTCTTCGTATTATATTCAATTGATGCAGATGGAGTGGGAGGGTGATGCTGGATCAGTCAAAATCAATGGAACAGATTACTTCCTCAAGCAATGCCATTGGCACAGCCCCTCTGAGCATTCCATTAATGGCATAAGGTCTCTCTCTTTCTCTATCTCAGCTCCTCTGTCTTAAAAATCCAAATGGTTTGATCAATGTCTAAAGAGTTACTTATTAGGTATGATTTGGAGCTGCACATGCTTCACCGAAGTCCCAACCCGAACAATAAAGCTGTAGTTGCACTTCTATTCAAAATTGGCCGCCCCAATCCTCTTCTCTCAAAGGTAAAAAGACTCAAAACATATATGTAAAACAAATTATTGGAGCCCAAAGGTGTTACTTTTTCAGCTTTATATATTCCAATTTTCAGGTGCACAAGGGCTTAGAGTCTACGATTGGTACAAAGGAGACACAACTGGGACTGACTGATCAAGTGAGATAAAATGGAGCAGCTTAAAATTTTACAGATACATTGGCTCACTCACAACCCCTCCTTGCACTGAAGGAGTTATTTGGACCGTAAACGAAATGGTAAAACCTCTTCATCTGCCATGAACATTACTTGAACTCTTGTAAATTCACATTTTGATAATTTTCCCTCAGGTAAATACCGTTTCGAAAGAACAACTGGAGTTACTTAAACAAGCTGTTTATGACGTAAGTAACCTTGTCTTGTTATGTGATTCCTCTGTTAGAGCTAACTACACTAAAGTGTCAATTTTGAGCACCTATTTAACTTGTGTTCATTAACCTGAATGCAGTATGCAAGATGAACGCAAGACCATCACAGCTTCTCAACGACCGAGACATCATACTCTACAGCCCGTTGTTAAGACAGCCGGTGTTGCGAAACTAGCAACATCCATGATTGAAAAGAAAATAAAAAGTTTGCATTCTTTGCTGTAATAAATTAGTACTTGCACATGTATGTTAAGCATACCAGCTTGGAAAATTCTTTATGTTCTTTAGAATGTCTATGATGCTTCAATTTTGAACCGAAAATAAAT